ACACAATCCTGACGCACACCTGAACCTCAGATACACAATATTGCCACGCACACATACACAGACACACGCACGCACGCACGCACGCACGCACGCACGCACGCACGCACGCACACACACACACACACACACACACACACACACACACACGCACACACACAAACACACACACACACACACACACACGCGCACGCACGCACGCACGCACGCACGCACGCACACACGCACACTGGAACCTTAGAGACACAGACCCGGGCACGCACCAAGCCTTAGAGAGACAATCCCGGAGCGCACTGAAACCCGAGAGACACGATCCTGACGCGCACGTGCACCGTTGAGACACAAGACTGCCACGCACTTAAGCTTTAAAGACGCAAAGCTGGCACGCCCTTGAAAAGTATATACGCAACGCACACACGCACTTAAACCTTAGAGACTCAAACCTGACAAACACACACACACACACACACAGACACAGACACAGACACACACACACACACAGACACACTTAAGTCGCAGAGACACAGGATTGACACACCCACACACACACACACACTTAAACCTCTGAGACACAAAATTGGCACGGACTTTAACCAGAGAAACACCATGGCGACACGCACTTACATGTTACAGACACACTCTTGACACACGCAACTACACCTTATAGACGCAATCCTGACACGCACTTGAAGCCTTACAGACACAAACCCGACACGCACTGACAACGCACAGACAGAACATTGGCACGCACACTTTTGAGTCGGTGGCGCAGAGGGCCTCAAGCGCGGGCAGCAAATTGAAAAGCGAATTGCGATCGACTATCGTCGAGAACACAGTGCATGAAGCGTCGCACACCGAAGAGACCGAGAGCAATAATACGTGGTGCGAAGAGGAACTTGAGACCAGGCGAACCATGCTGCAGCCGAACAACCGAGGAGGCTACGCAACTCGACGTAAACTGATTTAACGGCCGTCTCAAGTCGGAGCAGTTTTACAACCTGCTCAGGTCGGAGCAGTCTACGACCTGCTCAGGCTGGAGCAGTCTTACGTCGTTCTTCTCAGGTCGGAGCAGTCACGACCTGCCCAGGGCGAAACATGTTTACGATCTGCTCACGTCGGAGCACTTTTGCGACCTGCTCAAGTCGGAGCAGTTTAACGACCTGCTCAGGTCGGAGCAGTTTTCCGACCTGCTCAGGCCAGAGCAGATTAACAACCTGCTCAGGCGGGAGCCGTTCTACGAGCTGCTCAGGTCGGAGCTTTATTACGATCTTGTAGGTCGGAGCAACGTGACGAACTTCTTGGAAATGCTCACGAGTTGGTTCTCGACCTACTCGAGCAGTTTCGCGACCTGTTCGGGTCGAGTCGAGACTGACCTCAGGCCTCTCGAGGCGCTGAACCAACGCTTCAGAGGCTGCCGAATCCAATGGTGCGACTGAGGCGCATACCCAAACCTTGAAATTAAGTCGACAAAAATAACGATTCCAGCAAGCTGAAAATTTTCCGGTGGAAACTTGAATTGGAAAATGAGTTTAGCCCTCTCGAAACTCAGGGCTAATGCTTCAATGGCTGCGAAATAAGTTGGTTGGACAAATAGTTCTATAGCTGCTCTCGAGGTCGAGATCCTAAACTGACCGCGCGCGAAAAATATGTTACAGAGTGCGAACAGTGTTGCGGTCATAGCTCGAACATGAAAGCGATATGACGCTCCTCGTTGCTCTCCACTAGTGTTCTCAATACAGCTACATCAGTCCGTGGGATTAACGGCCCTGCGGCTGCTCGTAATCTCGAGACGAAGTATGTGAACTGACCGCGCGCGGAAAATTAGCCTGGCGAAGGACCCAATCATATGCAGTTGTGAATACCGCAGTTGTGAATATCCTCTTTGGTGGCGCTACCTGTGGGGCCACGAACCGCATGAGGGGCGCGCCGAATTGCGCGGCGGGGCACACAGAACGAACGAAGACGATAGGTCTAAGCACGCGAGTTTGAGCGCGGATGAATCTGAGCGCGAGTGAGTCTGAGTGTGAACGAGTCTGCGTACGAGTGATTATTGGCAGGAAGGCGAGCATGGCCACGCCTGGTGTATGTGTATATATATATACTAGAACCATCGCGCGCACTTCGCGCGCGCGCAGGTTCTAGCCCAGGCAAGGGGCGCGCTTGAAGATCTTGGACAGCGCTATCAAGCACAGGCGCGTGACATAGTCGTGCCTCCTGAGGGCCTCTTGGAAACCTCTTGGGTCTTCGTGGGGGCATCTGAAGGGCTTCCGGGAGCAATATGCCAAACAATACCACGCAATGCCCCCATGCTGTAAGATGTTTTCTGATTCCAGACGTGACATAGCATTCACACGTCGCTGCTTGTTACAGCGGTGCGATGTGGGGATGCTTCTTGGTAATAGCTCTGCCTGGCCGTAAGACTGCACACGGATTTGCTCCGCAAGCGCAAGGCGCGCTGCAGCAGCAATTCGCCGGCCCAACGGGCCAGAGGCGTGCTAAGATCTCCGGTAACTGGTAAACAATATTTATAGTTCGCGCGCGCGGGGCGGCCCCTGGGGATCCCTGGATCAAAAGTACCCCGGGAGGAGCCCGGGACACGCCCGGGACACGCCCGAGACACGCCCGGGACACTCCCCTAGATCCTCCAGGATCGCCCCAAGAGGGCCCCAAGAGGCCCCCAACACAATCCAAGAGAGGTCCGAGACGCCCGAAGATCGCTCCACGGCGCCCAAGATGGCCTCCAGACGGCCCAAGACGTCTCCAAGATGACCCAATCAGCCTCCAAGATGCCCCAAGAGACCTCCAGGAGCACTCCCAAGAGGGCCCCCAGAGGCAAGAATCAATGTTTTTTTAGGTTTTGGACAGATTTGGGCGTTTCAACCTTTTCGCTTCCCCGACGCCCCTAAACGGCTCAAGAGGCCTCCAAGATCGCCCCAAGAGGGCCCAAGAAGCCCTCAAAAGGGCCCCAAAACAGCCCAAGACGGCTCCAAGACGGCCCCAGAGGCCTCCAAGACGGCCCAAGAGGGCCCCAAGAACGCCCCAAACACGGTCCAAGAGAGGTCCGAGACGCCCGAAGATCGCTCCACGACGCCCAAGATGGCCTCTGGACGGCCCAAGACGTCTCCAGGATGGCCCAAGAACCTCCAAGATGCCCCAAGAGGCCTCCAAGAGAACTCCCAAGAGGGCCCCAAGAGGCAAAAACCTGTGCTTTCCCTTCGGTGTTGGACAGATTTGGGCTTTTTAACCTTTTCGGTTCCCCGACGCCCCTAAACGGCTCAAGAGGCCTCCAAGATCGCCCCAAGAGGGCCCAAGAGGCCCCCAAGAGAGCCCCAAGACGGCCCAAGACGGCTCCAGCACGGCCCCAGAGGCCTCCAGGACGGCCAAAGAGGGCCCCAAGAACGCCCCCCACACTACACAGCTCCCGACGCCGCCCTTCCACACTGCAAACGACCACTCGGACAAGCGACCGCGGTGCGACATGGGCCGGCGGAATGAGCGAAGCGATTAAATCCGCCCGCCCACCGGGCTGAGGGGCGCGTGGGACTTAACTACAGAGCTTTAACCCCCCCCCTTCCCCCCCCAGAGGCCTCCGCCATTCCGCCGCCCGGCTGCGGCAATGCCCTTTTTTCGGTTTCCAAAACGGCTCCGCGACGGCGTCCAAGACAAGCTCGATCTTGGCATCGTTCTGAAGACGCTGCGGGGGCGCCTGTGGGCTCCATTTCGGCCCCGTCGAAGCCTTTTCTTGGCCTCCAATATCCGCTCCCGGAGCCCTCGACAGCGCCTCTTTGGCTCATTCTCGCCGACACGTGGGGATGTCAAAAAAAACAAATACTATAATTTTGGCCTGATTTCGGCTTCCCTGGAGCTGTCCAGGGCGCTGCTTACAGTTGACTTCCGGGCTCGCGTGCATCATTTCTCATCACTCCCTTTTGTTCGCCGTTTTTGGGCGCGCACCGGGGTCCATTTCGGACGCGGCGGGGCCCATGTTGGGCCGCAAAACGGACCCCAGACCAGGTCAGACCCCGCCCGGTTTTTACTGCAAGACGGACGCGGTTGCGACACAACGCGGAAGTGCTGTCGCTTGAACCGCCCTGGGCTTCCCCCAGACCGCCTCGGGGCCTTCTTAACCTCTGTTTGGGCCCTTCGGGTTCCTTTTCGGCCCTTCCTGGCGCCTTGCCAGCCGGATCACCGCCAGGGCAACCGTCGGGGCAACCAACCGCTCGGGCAACCGCCGAGACTAGCAACGGAAAAACAATCCGGGCAACCGTCGGGACACGCACCCAGACATCTACCACGGCACACCTCGGGCCAGTCATCTGGTCAGCCAGTGGAGAGACCACTCCAAAAGCCACCTTCCCTTCCATCGGATCAACCGACTGCGCAAGCGCGACAATACCACGAGACTGCCGCGCCACCGCATGACGCAAGCCCACCACGAGAGCATGCCGCCTTCCCTACCATCGGATCAGTCGACTGCACAAGCGCGACAGAACTACGGGAAAGCCACGCCACCGCATGACACCAGCCCACCACGGGAGCACGCCGCCACTGACACCTGCTGCCGCCCGCACAACGACACACAACGATGCGCGCCCACTCACGTCTCTCAGACATCGGGCGCGCGCGACACCCGATGCGGACCTATTGCTGTCCTGCCCCGCCCCCCCGCCTCGCCGTCGCCAGGGGGGGCGCAGAGCCCTCAACGCAGATGATGTCTAGACCGAGATCGACGACAACGACTGCGGGAGGGAAACGTTTTCGATCCATGGCGCCAGCAGATCGCGCGACCCGTCGATGTGACGCCGCGCCGTTCTGCCGACCGAGTCGCAAGCCTCGCCCATAGGCGAGACCTTCAAAAAATCCCCGTCTACAGTCGCAACCCCCGGCGCACCCCGCCCAAGATCACCCCGCCCGCCTGCTCAATCCTGCCACTCATGCACCTGCCGCGTGCGTTCCAGCCAGCTAGTCCGCGCCCGCCCCCCTCATGCCCGTCAGTGCACTCCCCCCCCTGCCGCGTTGTCGCACCCTCATCCCTCACTTCAATTCACGCGCGTCGGGCGTGCGCGCGGCCACCCACCACGACAGGCTCACTCGCCCGCGTCCTTCTCCAATTACGCGCAACCGCTGCAGACACCGATCTACACGAGCACTCGCCTCCTACGCCGACCAGCGAACGCGCGAGATCTCGCCGATGCTCGTCCGCCACTCGCTCACACCCTTCGAGTCGAACGCGTGGCCCTTGACCTTCACCACCACAGGGCTCTCTTTTAGAACGTCCACAAGGATGCTTTTGAAGTTCTCCGCCGGGCCGCCCGCCCCAATGTCGACGTCCTTGGCCACGCGGAAATACCCCCCGAACTCCGACGACCTAGAAGCAGACGAAGCCTCGCTCGGACCGTATCCACCAGGAACCCCGCGCGTTTCGAACCCTTGCTTAAAGGGCTTGGCGTTCCCTCCGAATATCAAGTTGGCCTTCTCCATCGTCACCATAGTAGGCGATTGCATCGGAAGAGAGAACGCGGGGCAAAAACAACAAAGCACACGACTTGTATGAATTCCTGCCTATGTTAATCCCGTCATGGAGCCGTCTTCGCCTCGTCCGGCGAGAACTGGAATGGGCGGGCGGCGAACGCGAAGCGTCTTGCATCATATGGATGATGGGACAACGCCCGGCCTCCAATCCGACGAAGTGCCACACAGCATCCACGTGAAGGAAAACAAAAAAAGGCACACTCTACAGATCAGAATGACGACCGCTCAGACGGATTGGCAGAGGATATTGCAGCAACCAGGCGCGCGTGGGGATTATCTAGTCTCTCCTACGTAGTCTCTCTTCCAACGCTTGTGGAGACTGTCAGCCCACGTCTTGAATGCATTCTCGCACAGGCCGGCGCTCCGTCGCGCGCTGCTTTCGAAGACAATCTTACTCGAAGGCCGGAGAGCTTCTTGGATTGAAAGGCCAGTTCGCGCATCCGTAGCATCGCGGCTGTGATTCCAGTCCCCGCCCCACAACTTCATGAATTCGAAGTGCTTGTTTGTCCCGATTGTACCACCCGGCCCCCGAACAAGTGTCACGCGAGGCACATAGAACGAGAAAGCGACGATGCGGCAGTGCAACCTCGTGGAAAACAAAAGCTTTGCTCTGGACAATAAAACACTTATACCCCAAATGTTGCGCCCCTCGAATACGGTCACAGCAATTGAAGAGTCTGCTTCATTAAACCTGGACTTAAGAGCCTCATACGACATCAGATGATCGTGGAAGCGCGCAGCGCCTGCTCGGAACACGACGATGCTGGCGTTGTTTTTTTTCGCCGCTGCCAGAACAGCATCAACAAATCCATCGTCGAATTCAATGCTACTCCTGAACTGCAAAGCGAAATATGTCCCCATTGGTAGGCCGCTTGCGCGAAGTGATATGCATTGCCAAAAAGAGCGTTGATCATGACTACGCTATCTGGGGCCAGCAGGCAGTCCTCGTAGCCTGCCTTTGGAGGATGTTGGCGGAGCGTGCAATGGTCAAACGCGCTATGATTGAATCTTGGGTTGCCTATACCTCCACTTGTGTTAGCGATGAACAAGCTAGGTTTGGCAAACTTGTACTTAGGCAGCAAATCGGAAGTACTGCGGTTGTTGTGCATAAAGTCGCCCTCATTGCAAGCTTCGACGCCAGGTCCGAACATGCTCAGCGCACCCTTGAGAGGTAAGCCATTGAGAGTTTGCCCTCCACAAACAAAACACACATCGAGAGAGCCATTGTACATGTTGGAGAACAGAAAGCCAACGCCGATGACAAGATGACCACAATACGCCTGCATGTCGGCGCCTGCAACGTCAGCATGCAAGAAATCGTCGGGACAGAAACCGCAGCGACTTTGCAGCGTCGTTTCAACGACCCACGGCATCACCATATCACCGAAAGTGTGCCGACCCATAGCGCCATACATAAGCACCTTGCGACCATGCTGTATCACTTCAGTGCACCCTGAGCTGGTCGCCTGGTTCGCGCCATGCAATGCACCCCCCCTGGAGCCCGTGCGCGAAGCACCTGGGACTCAACCCTGCATCGACGAAGGCAGACGCGCACTGGTCCGTGAGCCCATGATACTTACTGCGAGTAAATACGTGCGAATGGAAGCATCACGCGACGAGCATGCAAACGAAACAAAGACAACGAGGAAAACGAACGACCGTGGAACAACGGAAAGCAAAGTGCGTTCCACCATCTGACTAATGTTCCGATCGGTTCGTCTGCACAGGTCCGGGGTGCTCGGTAATCGAGCGACGACGGTCTCTTGAGCCAAAATGGCTACGGACCGCAAGACTGCACGCGGATATATCGGAGAAGCAGATGTAGGGCATTCATCCTATGAGAGCAGCCGCATCTCTCCGCATCATGGCAACCGATTGGTGATGGTGATGGTGATGGTGGTAATGATGATGATGGTGGTGACGACGCCAACGATGACGGTGGCGGTGACAGGCGACGACGACGAAGACGAAGACGAAGACGAAAACGATGACGACAACGACAACGGCGACGGAGACGATGACGACGACGGCAGCGACGACGACGATGATCATGATCATGATCATGGTGATGGTGATGGTGCTGGTGATGACGATTACGCTGCTGCTGATGCTGCTGCTGATGCTGCCGCTGATGATGATGAGGATGAGGACGAGGATGCTAATAAGGAGGATGAGGATGAGGATGAGGATGAGGATGAGGATGACGATGAGCATGAGGATGAGGATGAGGATGAGGATGAGGATGAGGATGAGGATGAGGACGAGGATGAGGATGAGGATGAGGATGATGATCATGATCATGATGGTAGTGGTGATGGTGATGGTGATGGTGATGATGATGACGACGATCGCGCTGGTGATGATGATGCTGCTGATGATGATGAGGAGGAGGAGGGCACTAATGGGCGCGCTCGCGGCGCAGGGTGTCCCCCCGAGGCGGGGGCCGGGAGGAGCTCCGCCTCCCCCCTCCTCTCCCCCCCTCCTCCCGCCTCCTCCCGCCCCCCTCCTCCTCCTCCTCCTCCTTCACCTTCCCCTCCTCTCTCCTCCTCTCTCCTCCTGCTCCTGCGTCTCTTGCTGCTCCTCCTCCCCCTCTGCCCCCCCCGCCCCTCCTCCTCCTTCTCCCCCCGCCCCCCACCCCTCTCCTGCACACATGAACAATGTGAATACTACTCCCCCTCCTTCCCTGAAGTTGTCCGCAAGATCGCCCGCTCCCTTCGCGCGCTGCTATTTTACGCACAAGATTAAAAACATTGTTCTCTAACGGTTTGAAACAATCCGACTGTTTTCGATTGTTCCTGGTGTTTCACAATGGTACTCCCGCTGCAGCGTGGGCCTCATTTTCGGATCGGCGCTTTACTCCCGTGGTTCAAAATGGCGTTCTCGCCCCAGCGTGGGCAATTTTTCTTGATCCGAGTCTTACTTCATTGCGTTGCCCCTTCATTTCACCTCCTCCGCCTTTTCCTGGCCCCCCTCTTCCTCCAGCTCCTTCCACCCCAGTTCCTGCCTCTACTGTTCGTCTCTCCCCAGCGCGGGCCAGATTTCTGAATGCAACTATTTCTTCATCGTTGTCACCTCTTTCATTTCCTCTCCTCCGCCGCCCCATATCTTCTCATGGCCACCCTTGTCTCCCCCATCCTTCCGCTTTAGGTCCTGCTGCTTCTGTTCGCCCTCATCCCTTACCTCGCGCACATCCCCCTGCTCCCCCGCCACCTCCTCCTCCTCCTGTGCTCCCAGCTCCCATTATCAGATTGCATATAGAACGAAAGTGTCTTTCTGTCAAAATCGCAGGTCGTCTATGAAACGCATCCGCGGATAATGAATCATCAGCGCCGTTCAAAATGGAAAGGAAGGCCAGGGCGTCAGACGAGGCGCAAGCGCGCCTAGCTTGCCCCCCCATGTCCCTCCACAATTATCCAATACGAATACTACTCCCCCTCTTCCCCTGATGACGCCTTGGGAATATTCGCCCCCGCCCCCCCCGCGCACTGTTTTTTTGCACACAGGTTTCCGCGGAGCTGGGTTTTCGCATGCATTTGTTCCCAAAATGCTGCTCTCGCTTAGGCGCTGGCCTCATTTTCGGGCCCCGCTCGCTCCGAATCGCGCCCCCGCTGCAGCGCTGGCATCATTTCCGCCGGCGCCCGGGCTGCACGCCCGAGCCGGCGCCCGGGCCGGCGCTCGGGCCGGGTCCGGAGCCGGTTCCGGCCGGCGCCGGAAAATCTCGTTCCGAGGCGGCGCCGAAAAAGGCCATTCTAATACACATCTTTCTTTTGATGCTAAATTTCTGCTTCCGGCGCCCTGGGAGCCCCCCGAGCCGATTCCGACGCCCAACGGCGCCCGAGCCCTTGGGAGCTTCTTGGGGGCCTCTTGGCTCCGATTGGGGGCCTCTTGGGACTTCCCGAGAACCTCTCGGGGTAGAAAGCTCGGATTCTCAGTTCGTGTTTCCCTTCTTGGGCCTCTCTTGGGGCCGTATTCGGGCCCTCTCGGGCCTTCTTGGGCGCCTCAGGCACCGCCTTTCGGCTATATTGGAGCTGTCTTGGAGGCCTCTTCCTCCTCCTCGTCCCCCTCTTCCTCCTCCTCCTCCTCCCACTCCCGCTCTCTCTCTTCCTGATCTTCCTCTTCCTCCTGCAGCGTGTTCCGGAAGGCTCCCGCCGGAGCATGCTGTGCACAAGTGCTGTCACTGCTCCCGCCACAGCGCCCTGGGTGGTGGGTCAGAGGCCTCATCGTCGACTCGGAGTCGACGATGAGTTCTGTCTGCGCGTGCTTTCCCCCCCTGACCTTGGGCCCTCACAGGCGGCCCAGCAGCGCCTACCCCAGGTCTGCGGGGGCTCTCGGCGTGGGCCACATGGGCGCTTTGCGGGGGGCTCTCTTGGGCCGCCTGCGAGCGTCTGCGGGCGCTCTTGGGGGCCTCCGGGCGCTTCATCGCAGCCTCCTGGGGGACAGCGGAGGCGCTTCGGTGATCTTCTGTGGAGCCTCCGGGGGCTGTCTCGGGCCGTCTTGAGGCCCTCGGGGAAGGATTTGAAGATGATTTATGTTTTTTGTTTGATATTGATCCTGTCAGCCTCGAGGCCAAGGTCCAGCCTCAAAGCACTTATGAGCCGCGCACGCACACTACTTCGCACGGAGATGGTGCGTCGCGGTCGCGCAACGCTCACGCAGCAGGATCGAGTGATTGAACAGTGCTGCAACTGCAGCAGGCAACGGTTTCTGAAAGATGCAGCAGCGTTCACACGTGAGGAGGGGGCAGGGTGAGGGGAGCGGGACAAAGGTGATGATTTTGACCCTGTCCGCCACGAGGCCATGGTCCAGCCCCAGAGCACGGATGGACCGGCCGCGCACGCACACTACTTCGCACGGAGATGGTACGTCGCGGTCGCGCAACGCTCATGCAGCAAGATCGAGTGATTGAACAGTGCTGCAAATGCAGCAGGCAGCGGTTTCGGAAAGATACAGCAGCGTTCACACTCGAGGAGTGGGCAGGTGTTCCCCTTCTTGGGCCTCTCTTGGGGCCGTCTTGGGGCCCTCTCGGGCCTTCTTGGGCGCCTCAGGCACCGCCTCGGGGCCCT